AGGCATGAAAGAGTGCCATGTTAGCCAGGCCCGTGGCTTCTGGCTACCAAGTAAAGATGAAGCCCTCTGGGTGTTTGAGCAGAAACAGCAGAAGCATCAGAGGACATTTGAGGCTCTTAACACTTATAGTACAGGAAACTTAATATAATGTTTGTGACACTGAAAGAACATGTTTCGGTGCTGAGCTGAGTGTACATTTGTGTTGGAGATGGCCCAAAGATATAAAACTGCTTCTGCAGCACACCTTTGGTCTTGTGTTGTAGTTTCTTATTGAAGACAGAGAGAGAAATCGAGAGAAAAAGGACAGGCTGAGTGAATTGGACATAGGTCTAGGTTCCAGACCTTTCAATACCTCTCTTGATAGGTTGATGCTTGAATAAAATTGGATACCTTTGGTTTTCTTACAGACTACAACTCTGGGAACAGGAAGGGATTCCTTCCTCTGTCCTCTGCTGATCACAGCTACAAGCTTTGGCAATAAAGGCCAGATCATGATACAGAGTTTTCCAAGCAAGAAAAAAAAAAAGTGCTCTGGGTGTCAATATTTGTTTTCTTCCTTTCTTTTTCAGAGGCTTTATTAAAAAAATTGCTATTTAAAGAATGCAAAACACAACAAAAATATTCCAAAACTCCACTTTGTGTTGCTTTCCTCCTCTTCAGCTGCAGAGGAAGAAAGCTGGGCTGCTCTTTCCAGCCCAGCACTCAGAGAGGGCGGCTGTGGAGCAGCCCTCAGGAGAAGGCAGAGCCTTGCTGTCAACAGATGGTGCACTCATCGGGACTAGAAATGAGAAATACTTTCCAGAGAGTGTCTGGCACTATGGCAGCCTTGTCTGGAATCAGTTAGGAAGAGGACAAGGTCTTTGGTTGGTGTCTCCTTGCAATGTCAACTTCAGCTTGTTGGAAACTTCCCAGTTCATACTCAGAGTTCGGTCCCCAGAAAACTCTTTGTTATGATACCATTATTGGCTTTCGTCTACAAATTACTGTACAACTTAAATGTCAGTATTCAAAACTTGAAGTGCCCAGGATTTGTTCAGCCAGAAGCACAAATGAAATTTAGTTTGGGCTCCTGGCAAGACTTGCTTTCACATTTATCAAACTGACATTCAAACCAAAGAAGTAAAAATACAGCTAAAATATCAGGTGCCGTTGAATGCCTGGAGAAACCGTGGCAGGACTGCTGCTTTTCTTTCCCTCTTATAATCAAATTTATCTACACGTCGTAACAAACATCTGCATGAAGTATTTAGTGGTTCTTTCTTTTTTCACTTGGATCTGGTTTTGCATCTGAAACAAGCCAAGAGCTTAGCCAGCTTGGACAGAGTGTGTGTGGCTTATGAAAACCCTTTCATGCTCACGGTATCTGAGATGTCCAAATGCAGGCTCTAAAGCTTTGCTAGGCACCCCAGGTGTGTGAGTGAGCCAAACAGGAAAGATTCCAACTTCTAAAAGACTGTCTTGCCCAATAAAGCCAATTCTTAGCTTCAGTCTTTTTTGACTTGTAATGTGGGGCAGTAACTCAGTTCCTGCAATGAGCAGGACTTGCACAGGGCAGGTATGCCAAAGTACTCTTCCTTTTCTAGCTTCTCATCTTGTAGCTCAACAGGATGAAGAAACTGTCAGTGCTTTTGCTATCTGTCATATTAAACCAGTTCTTAAACCAACTGTTGATGTCTTAGTTGAAAATACTGTTTTTTCTGAAGCTTTCTTCCCTCTGAATGGGATCTTCTACCTTTCTTTTTCACATTTTCTGTTCTCTTCTGCCTGATGCTTTCAAATGCCCAATATTTACTTCCTCTTCAGTGTCATGGTGCTGGGATCTGTTCTGTAGACCCTTGCTGTTGCTGCTTGTATTGTTGCTCTTTGCTTGGCACTTGTGAAGCTCAGCGTGCCTGAGGTCGGCAGATGTTTCCAGATGCAGCTCTGCAGGACAGGTCCATCATCATCCCAGCTGCTTGAAGGGATTCTTTTCTCCTAAGTTATGCTTTTCCCCGATATTAATTTGAGATGTCAAAGGAGGAATATTTCTGATAGCCTCAGACCCTCAGGTACACCCACGTGGCAAGGAAGCTGGAGGACATGGATCATTACTTGCACGTCCTGTCCTATTTGTTTCCTGAAGATGGAGCCCTACTTATAGACAAGCTTCACTGGCATTCCCTCTGGGGAGAAGGGAAGAGGAAGAAATGATACAATAGGACAGTGTCTTATGTTCAGATGGGGGAAAAACTAACAAAACTCCCCAAGTAATTACAAGGTGGAAGTGGGGCAGGATTTCAATTTGTGGGGCTTTTCCTTATCCAGAACTAAAGTTATTTTGGTTTTGGGTCATTGCCACAAACCAGAAGAGCAACAAAGGGGATTTTTTTTTTTTTCAGACATATCTGAGACATTGGGAAGGAACAGTCATATGCAATGTCCTAGAAAAAGCATGGGAAAGGGGGAGTGCAAAAGTGGCCCATATAGCAGAAATTGCTGCTGGCTCTGCTTCAAAAGGAAAATAACAATCCTGATGAAGGAAAGGGCATTGGAAAAAATAACCGGATATCATGTCTTGTTCTCAAGTTTGTGTGCACATTGTCAGAAGTGGGCACCATGGTTTATGCTTGTAAGGATGGCAAAACATACTCTGTTCACCTCCTTCTTTGTCTTTTGCTTTTGAAGGTATCTTCTTTCAGGTTGAAACATCCCATGCTCAGCTGATAAAAAGATACAGACATTTTAGGCTTGAGAAGAAGGAAAATAAACATTTCCTCTCTTCTAGAGCTGATGCAGTAAATGTGGTGTGTGTGGTTTAGAATGGGTGTGTAGCTAAAACAACTAAATCACAGAAAGGAAGATTAACTGTGCTTGTGGAGCAGTGTGTGTCTTTATCTTTGGTTTGGATTTGTCTCTGTTGTTCAGAGTTCAGGGTGAGCTGCAGTAGAAATGAATTGTATGTGACACTTCACCTTGCCAAGCTAGAACCTGAAAAAACAAGAATTGCTTTTGCAGAATGAGACAAATAGGAAGGAAGAAGCATCATGGAAAAAAAACCAGTTTGTTGCAGTTCTTCTGCTTAGTTTTTTTCTCAGCTTTAACTAATTACATGGACAGTTTCTCTGGTTCTGTGTGTCATTTTGAATGGGAAAGGAGAGAAGTAGGATAGGCTAAAACACCAGATCCAGGAGGTCCAGCAGCACACTGGATGGCGGATACACTTCAGGCTGTAGAGAAAGAATTTGCAGAAGAGTTTACAACTGTCAGATCTTCTGAGGGATATTCTTGGTCTAATGAATAAAGTACCATGTACTTCTGGCTGTCATGACTCCAGATTAAGTACAGTAAGGGCATTTCACAGGTGAGCGGCTTCCAGCAGGAATGTGAGACATCCATTTGAGCATCAGCCTTAGTTTTGAGCTCTGGTTCTTGGGCTTGAGATGCTGCCAGTTGTACTGATGCTTTCGTTGGCAGGGAACAGATGTGATCTCATAAAACCTAGTAGGTAGTGGGGATTGGTTCTGAAAATTGGATAGGCCTGGTGTTGCCTGATAGGAGGTTATGAATAAACCATTCAGCTTCCTGTGCAGTAGAAGCAATGACACGTGTGGATAACAGTGTACAAAGGGAGTAAGGAAACTCTGCCCATTGGCACAAGTGAAAGCAGAGCCTGTAGCATTTCTGCTGCCCGCGTTCCATGCTGCTGCCTAGAAACCTGGAAGAGAGGAAGCAATCAAAGCAACATCAGCCTGAGTTTAGGATTGTCCTGACTCCTCTGGTTCAGAACATGGCACAGTTGATCACAGGGTTACTGCTAATAGGAGTCCAGAAGAGTTGGCAAAAGAGAGAGAATTTCTAGGCAATTCTGTCTGCATTCTGCTTATTTGTGGAGTATTTAAGCTGCCCTCCTTGCTAGGTTTTGCCTGTCTCTGTTTGTATTTGTTGCCTGTTGCACAGTGATCCCCAGGAAATACTCACCTGCAGAGATAATGCTCTGCTGGACAGGAGGGGTGGGGCATGAGTTAAAATACACTCTGTGAACTGTTATCAGCATGAATGGCAGAGATCTCAATGCAGCGTGCTGCATTGCATTTTTATGTTTTCACTCTGTTGCTGTTGGTGATGCTCTGCTGTTGGCAGCCGAGAAGGTTAGGACTTGGGTTTGTAAACATGCATATTCCAGGAAGCAACCATGTTATGAAAGAGGAAAGCCAGCTTCTGGAGAGGAGAAATTGAAGTATTGCTTTTGTGCTTTTGACAGTTCTCCCTTGTAGCTCACCCTTCTGAAGATGCAAGTCTGGTACAGCAGTTGCCTGCTCACATGTGCAGTGCTGCTCCCTCTCTGCATGGAGAGCAGCACAGATACTCCTGGCTGGCTGAGCAGCCTCTAGGCCAGGATCCTTCAGTCCATGCCAGCACACCCCAGATCAGGGTGTCTGGCACCATGGCCTGCTGCCCATGGGGCTGTTGGCCCTGCAAGTTGTTCTAAATCCAAGTAGAATTGAACATATTTAGGTTTGTGTACAGTCCTGGTAGATGTCTGGCATAACATTCCAGGCTTGCAGCTGCATGGAATTTGATATCTAAGTTTTCTTTACATGTTGTCTTCATATAAACTGTGTAGATTGTACTTTGAGGCTGAAGAAAGTTGAAGTTGAGGCGTGCTTTGGTTTGATTGTAGATAATTTTCTTATCCCTGTAGACCTGGGTTGCAAGCAGAGTGTTCTTAGTTTCAGCAGGTGAAGCTTGTGTGAGGGAATGTGAAAACTAGAGCATCAGAATCCTTCAAACAATTAATGCTGAAAAAGAGAACAGAAACGCTTTTCTGACTACTACTGCTTTGAACAATGATGTTATAATGACACATCAGTTTTTTACAGTAGATACGACATGAACCTTATCCCTGTAATGTAACAGCAGCCAGAAACTTCTCCCCCTGAGTGTTTAATGCCTTACAGGAAAGTGCCTTGCAGACCTCTTATGTGTATGATACATTTTGCTATGTTTATTGTGTTTTCCAGTGTATTTGAAAAGGATCCCAATGGAGTAGATTCCACTGTGAGTTCTAACCACCGAACCAGAAATCTTCTGGAGTTCTCAGCTCACCAGGAGTCCAGCACAGCTCAGAAGATACCTGAGGACATAATTTCTGAGAAGAGTAACAGGTGAGATAAAAATCTTTTACATATTTTGGGTGGCAGAGGGCACTGGTGCTTTTATCCCTCCCTGCCTTGCTCACCTTTTGGCCGGTGCTCTTGCTACTTTTACAGAGTACCTGAGTTCTAAACACAGTGTTTTGAAAGCTTCTCAGTTTGCTTTTCAAATGTATATGATGTTTTATCTCCCAGAGTACCCAATGTGTAGAGCTTCAGAAGTGTACATGTGGCTGTGCTGCGTGGTGTTAGGGAAAAGAGCTTATCCACAGGTGCTTGTCACCAAGACTTTCAGGACCTTCTTCAATTCAGCTGTTTGCTTTTTAGCTCTGATCTATATTTTAGCTTCCATAGTTGTGATAGCTGTCATGTTATCTATCTCCTCTTACTTTTTAAGCTGGAGTACTTATTATATTAGTTGCTCAAGAGAAGACTGGGGAAGTTATGAGTAAGAACACACTCTGCACTTAGCAGTGTCTTTTTCATTTTAAGAAGTCCATCTGAATCCATCCCTGTACTTATCCATTATTTAATTAAATACTGCCTTTCAGGCTTTCTAGATCCCCGGCATGCAGTGCATAAGTGAACATATAATTGCCTCCAGATTGAAGTCTGGCTAATACAGCTCATGTTTTCCCGTTACAAGATCTGTCCTATTAGACTGTCCCTTTCCAGCGGAGTGTTTTGGCTGGTTGAACAAAGCCAGACACAGATGTGCAGAAAGCCCTAATGTATTTTGCCATGCAAAAAGAAGGCAATAAATCAGGAGCATTTTAAGGCTGTAGCCATGGTGAGGGCTTTGTATCCTACGTGCTGTGTTTCAGACCATGACCTGTGGGACAGAAGAGTAGAGTGTTTCTCTTAGGAGCATGTGCTTGTGCCTGTACCTCCTTTTCTTTCACTGTTTCACCCTGGGTTTGGCAAGCTGTGAGCTCTTTGCTGCATATTCTTTATCAGTCCTAGATGCAGTGGAGAGGAGAAGCAGACATGAAGTTGGAGAGAAAGCTGGGAAAGGGAGGGGACTATGAATAAGGCTTTCATGAGCTCTTATACCTGATTTTTCAGAAAGAAGTTGAGTTTCAGGAGCTACAAGTCTGTCAAAATCAAGAGGACTAAAGCTGTTATATTGATAACCTGTCAAGAGAGAAACCTACATTAGGTATTTGGTGATAAATAGTTAACCCCTCAGGAATTGCTGAGAGTGTTATGAATTTTTGTACTGAGAAATACATGCTCCTTTTCTCTTTTTATCAAAACTAAGCTAGTTTCTGAAGACAGGGGTGCAAATCCTCTCCACTCAGTTGTAATATAGTTTGTGGCTGCTCATTTGTTATATAGGTTATGGTCTTTCTATCTGCATGGTTTTAGTGGATAATAAATTTAGTATTTCTGTAGCAAGTCTTGCACAGCTCTGGAATGAAAAAGAAAGTTGTGTCTGCAGAGATCACATAGTTTGCATACTGTGTGGAATATTTTACAGACTACATATTCTATCAATATCTGGCCTTCCTGGGAAGAGACCCAACATCTGCTAGTGCTCATCTGTCTGCCCTGCATTGAGAGCTGTCAGCCCCCTTTGAGGGATTGACTAAGAACATTGGATGTTTGATAGGAATTGTTACTCACCTGTTTCAGAGGTCTCACGGGAGCAGCTGTAACACTCATGGCTCTGCTGGTGATAGTGCTCATTCTCTGGCTTTGGTCAAAGGGTCATGAAAAAGTTTTTTAAGGGATTTCTTGTTGTGCTTTTGTTGATTTTTCCCAGGTATGACCGTTCTGTATCTGATAACAAAGCACTAATGATAGTCTCAGAAGAACCACTGCTATATATTTCACCACCACCACCCCCCTGCCGGCCTCTGATCAACAGGACAGAGTCACTGAGGTGAGAAAACAACCTGTTGTGAGCATTTACAGTTTATTAGGGGTTGATATATCAACTCTGTGTTGGCTGAGTGCTGCTGGACAGCTGTGGATGATGCTGTTGTCCATTCCTGGTGTTTATCCAGTATGTGACCAGTGTCTCCTAAGTGTCTGCACTCACCAATGCCTGCTGTCATAAGGACAGATCCACTTGGAGCTTTGTAATCTTTCCATGATTTTAGTAATGATTTTCACCACTCTCTTTTCACACTGATCATTTGCAATAACCAAATAACAATTTTTTGATTGTCTGGGGGGTTTTCATGACTTGACAGAGAAGTCACTTCATATGTGGAAGTGTTAATGATATGGAAATCAAGTCCAGCTAAAAGCCTTTCCCAACTGAGTTGTATAAGAGATGGTTTTTTATTCTTCAGCTTCTGATAGAAGCAGGCTGAACCTGACATTGCAGATGTTTTTTGTTCATTGTTAGAAAACACCTAGCTCCACTCTTTCTGTAGATATGAGTCACTAACCTTATCTCCGTTCTCTTTGTCCATTCTTTCTATCAGATTTATTGACCAAAATTTATCCTTAATCAATAATTTGTCTTGAATTGATCAACTTTTGATTTTAAATTTCAGTACTCCTTCCACTAATTTCAAAATTACTGTTTGTTGGGCAAAAGAAAGGACTGTATCTATTTTATGTGGGAACACCCATGAATCTAATACTTTATAGATAAATCTAAAATTGTATTTTCTTCCTGTGGTATTAAAAATAAGTTACCATAAGGTGAAATAATAGTAATCTTCAGTGTCTATGATGCCTTGTAGTGGCTACCTAGAACAGAGGCTAGAGAAGAGAGTGAAAGCAGATATTTATTGAAGGCCTTCAATAGGTACTCTTTGGGCAGTCGAAGCCCACCCAGGGGCTACACCCAAAAATGGAGGACAGGTCCATTTGTAAGTTTGGGCCATTTGCATATTGGGGGTTAATCTTCCAATTACAGCTTCAGGTAATGAAGTAATTTACGCCAAGTTTTCTCCCCCACAACTCACTTTTGTTTACATTTCTCAGGGCCTGAGGCAGTGAGGATCCTTTATTGCCAGGCCTAGAGAGGAATTGGTGTGTCTGACCAAAATGTGAAGACAGTAGCTTGCACTGTATATGGAGTTTAGAGCTATACACTAAAGAACTGCAGGATTACAAATATATGAAAAATAGAAAAGCTAAAATCCTAAGGCATCATCTGTATAGCAGCTAAACTGTTGTACAACTCTAAACTGTTGTGCCAGTGTTGTTTGCAGTCTGTGCTGATGCTGTGCTTTCCTAGGCTGACCCACGAGCTGAGAGGATGGGTGCACAGGCACGAGGTGGAGCGCACGCGGTCCCGGCGGCTGAGCAACAGCCAGCAGCAGCGAGCACGAGTCCCGCAGGTGTGTGATCAAAAAATCATTCCATGGAACGCTCTTCCTCACTTGCTTGCACTTGGCATCATAGACAAAAGTGGCCATCGTGCCTGTAATTAGGGCAGCCAACACATCCCGTTTTAAATTGCTGTGTTTGGTTGATTATTACATTGTCAGATTTGTTCTTCCATTCCTGCTCTTGGATTCAGGGTTTTGAAATTTTTTAGCAGCCATCAAAATATGTTCAGCATTTTCTAAAATTAAATCAATCATTATCCTTTTTACAGCTTCTCTGTAAGGACAAGCAATTGCTTAATGGAGAGAAATACAACCTATAGCACATTCATCTGACTCACTGTTAAGGGCGATAGCTGATTTGTTTTGTTGAAATATTTCTATTGTTTAAATTTTGCTAGAAGGATTTTTTTTAACAACTACATAATTATGAGACTTGTGCTCATATTTCCCATTTTTTAAAATCCCTTTTGTCTAGATGGCATACTTATATCGAGGCTAAAATTAAGACAATAATTTTCAAAGTGTTTAAATTGATTAGTCATAGTAATGTTGCAGCAGGAGGTTGTCCAGAGTGCCGTGACCTTCCCGAAGAAGTGTCTTGAAAAAGACACCTGGGGGGCACAGGCACATTTGTGCTCACCCCGAGTGATTTCAGCTCTTCTGTGATCCAGGTGATGCAGAAGGAGAGCCTTTATTGAGCTGCTTCCTCAAAGGAGTGCAAGGACAAAGAGCCAGTGAGGCAGGGAAAGCAGGAGTTTATATAGGGATCTGGGAGGGCGACAGAACACCAGGGCCCGTGGGATGAGGGCTTGGGGTGGAGCAAGGGGGAAGGGCCAGTGGGGTAGAAGAAATCAGCATACAGTCACAGAGGGCACTGGGGGCAATTTTCTTACTCTCCATTACCACAGGGGTTGTAGCTCAGGGGTTGGCCCTCCAGGGGAGAGTGGTAAGCTTTCCCTTTGTTGGTTCTCCAGCACCCACATAGTAACAGCTTTAAAGGAACTGAGCATTACAGTGTGGGAAAGACTGCAGTTTTCTAGAGAAGAAGTGTTGTGTATTAAACTTCAGATACTTCTCACCAGTGTCCAGAGCAGAATGGTACTATATTTAGAAATGTTGTCTATGGTGCCAAGCTCCCTTTCTTGTCTCTGAATGTTGACTTCAAATTTGGCTGTATTAAAATCTTGCTGATTTTGTTGTTCCAGCTTGATTGATGACCACTTCAGTTTCTCATGTTTCAGTGGAAAAATGCACGTTTCTGGTGCAGAGCACTGGTTGACCTCTGCCCCCCATTCTGTGTGTTATATTTAATGTAGTGGCAAACCAAGGAATTGCTTATTGGTTTCACTTTGTGTCATCTTTTCTTTTTTCCCCTTTTTCAGAGCTCCCTCAGTGACAAAGCAGATTCCCAGCTAATGGCCATGCCTTACACAGACACCAGTCTCAGGTAAGGCAGAACAGCTCTTTTGTTACTGCTTTCTACTTTTTCACCAGCAGTTGGTAAAGAATGCCCATTTTCATCTTCTCAGGGTTGTTCTTAAGCCACATACAGCCACCTTTCTTGGTCTAATTCTGTCTCTTAACAAATAACTGCTTCTAATTATTTATGTTACATTTGAAGCGACCCCTGTATCACAGCTGCACTCTAAGCTATGAATTTTTTTTTCTAGCTATGAATTTTAAGAAAATCCTTGCTTTGCTCTCCAGAATCCCTTTCTAAACAGATTTAAATATTTAGGGAAAAACAGGAGGAACTGACTTTGGACTCTGAGAACATCGTTATTTTATAAGACGGTTTCAAAGAGCCATGAGTCTGGTAAGGGAAAGGTTTCTCTCATTATCTTCAAGAGTAGAGCTATTAGAGCTAGCACCAAATTATTATGATGAACTTAAAGTACCATTGTATCTCATTTGCATTCTTTGTCTCCATCTGCTGACTTTTCTCTGGTGATTATTGGAGCATGTTAATGGATAGTTTCCTGATGTCCCCTGCCCACCCCTCCTCATAACTATCCCGTCCCTCTTCCCTGGTGACAGGAAATACTGGACAGAAAAGATTTAGGAAACAAAGTTTCTCTCTCCTGATCTCTGTGTGAAACTGTTTTGGAGGCTGTCTGCTTTGAAGTGCCAAAGAGGAGTGTTAGAGCAGAATGGAGTATGGAGGGGACTTCTGGTGAGAACACCATCTGAAATGGTGCTGTGTGAAGTAAGACAGCTGTGGCCTTTCTGTTTGCATTGCTGTTTTGAAAGCAGGATCAGCCTGGGGGAAAAGAGCAAGCTGTAGGCAAATGTTATGGAAAACAGGCTGTCAAATTTTGATACATCTTGACTTACAAGAAAAAAAAAAAAGAAAAAGCTTTTTGAGTTCTACAGGCAGATGAAGGATAGCTGTTTCAACTGAGCACTGATGAACAAGCCTCGTGCCATAAGGCAGTTTAATATACATGTTTGCATTGCTCTTGAAGAAAAAATCATCTGGATTATTGGAAAAAGTGTGAAACATCATGCATCTGTTGTGCTCCGAAGGAAGTGAGATTTTTTTGGTTTTTTTTCTCAGATTAAGGATGTTTATATGAACAGGACCAGTGAGTCATGGCAGCTGCATGCTGAGACTGTCCTGGAACTGCTAAGAACATATAACAGATTTCCAGTTCCTCTTGGAGCCACCAGCTATTAGGTGCTCCATGAAATCATAGAATCACAGTGTAGTTTAGGTTATAAAGGACCTCTGGAGATCTCTAGTCCAACGTCCTACTCAAAGTAGGCATAACTTCAGGTTTACTGAATGCCTCTGTTAGAAGGGATGGTCTCCATCTCCATTGTAATCTCCATCAGGAAGCTGAGGATTGAAAAGAATTTCAGGGAAGTCAAAGCAGTGGAGGAGATAAATTTAAGATGATTTCAAAGAAAATCATCAACACCCCTCATATCTTTATAGTCTGTGTAGCTTTCTTCAGAGGTGATTTTGTTGAGGGCTTATGTAAGAGTGTTTCTTAAGGCTTCAAAATGAGGTATCAAAATAAGACTCTCCAGTTATTTTCCTAAGTTTTGCACTATTAAGATTGTGGTTCTTGATGTGTAAAGCACTGTGTCCTGCCTCATTTCTTCCCAAAACAAGCCTGTGTGCAACGTCCCAGCACTCTGTGATGCAGCGTCCTTCAGAGTTTTAAAACAGTTTAAAACAAAAGTTCTGTTTATCTCCCAATAAATCGCCAGGTTCAGCACTGTTGTTTGGGATACACAATTTAATAGGGTGCTTTCTTGTAATATGCAAAGGTGTTACTAAAACAACTGATAGTTTTGCACCTGGCTTTGGTTCTGGAGTTACTGCCTTCCTTTGATGGAGCGGTCCATCGCAGTTATCAGCAGATGCAATGGATGTCCTGCCTTGTACTGTGTCACAGCATACACCACAGCATATGCTGCATTTGAGGCAGCCATGATACACAAGAGTATCATCGTACAGATTCAGAAAGCTTCAACCCTTAGAGTAACACCATACCACATCAGAAAGCTTCAGGTGTCTGCCCATACAGAGTGACATCATATCACTCCAGAAGGCTGCAAGCATCTGCCCCTCTTGTTCTTTAGCTCAACCCTTTATACCCCTCATTGTTCACGCATTGTACCTGTGTGCCCTCTGTTCCCTTCTGTGATTGGTCAGTACACCTGGGCACTCCATGTCTTATTGCTTTCAATGCTGTTCACTTGCTTTTCACAGTTGGAGCGCATTAGGGATGAGGCTTGGCCACAGCCCCATTCCCAGTTACCACAAACTGTGTACCTACAATAATCCCCTGGAATCACTGATGTTCAATGTATTACATGACCAGGAGAGCTTTGGAAAGGTCCTGTCGTTTCCAAGTGCTTTGGGCAGTTTTGTCCTCTGGCTGGTTTTCAGGTCTTGTGTCTCATGGAGTGTGGGTGAGCACACAACTCTGTGTGCCCCATGTCAGTTCTCAGGATGTGTTGTATGAGCAGCGCTGTGCCTTTCATCACAGCCAGGTCCAGTGGTGGTGCCTTTCATCACAGCCATCTCCAGTGCTCCATCTCAGATGTGGTGCCTTTCATCACAGCCATCTCCAGTGCTCCATCTCAGATGTAGTGCCTTTCATCACAGCCCAGCTCCAGTGCTCCATCTCAGGAGAGGCTTGCTGGACCTGCATATTTTTGTGGATGGGTAATCAAGCTCAGATTAGCTCCCGTCTTTGTTTCCTGTTTGTGAAGGACAAGAGCTGATTACTCTGATGCATAGTTCTGCAGGAAGGGATGTGTAGAGTAGAGCTGCCTGCTCCTGATCCCCCAGGACTTACCCCCCAGTCCTATGAAAAGGCAGCTGGCCTGGCAGCTGCAGTCTTCTGCTTGCAACAGGACTCGGTTAGCAGTGGAAGAGAAGATGGTGACAGCCTGCTATTACTGCTGCTTGAGAAAATCTCTTGATGATAGATTTGTGCCTTGTTATATTTTATAAACGTACTAAAATAATCTAAATGAGCCTCCCTAGTTCAAAACCTGGGTCAGCACATGACACTTGGGAGGGGAGGGATGCCCAGGCAGTGTCCTTGCCACAAACACAGTGTTCTATTAAAGTGTAGGAAATTAGAAAGACAGAAGAACATTAGAATGGTTGGAGGTCCAGCTAATGGTTTCCCTGAGTACAGCTTTCCCGTGTGATTAAAATAAGTTCTTTTGGAATGGGACTGGGGAAGTATAAATGATAGCAGTATATGCTAGGAATTTCTCACCTTTCCAAGATCAACAGTGGATAAGTACCATAATTGTAGGACTTGCCAGTGTTTTGGCTTCAGATGGTTTAGAGCATCTTTTCCTTGTGTCTCTTATGTGTAAGATGAGAACCATGGAAAAAATAAGCCAGATTTATGTGAATATCTTATTTTTGCTCCTCTGTCTAAATTGAAATCAAGAGCAAACTTTGGAGTTGACCAGGGGAAAAAATTTGAGTTGACCAGAGGACACAGCAGAAAAAAAAGAAGAGAAAGGTGGGTGAGAAAGAAGGTGAATTTATTATTTCACAGTAAATTAAAAGCTCTGCTTATGCTTAACTTTGTACTTCTTTCAATTTCAGTGGTTTGGATTCTTAGCAGTAAAAGAAAATTATTTCATTACTAAATAGTTTGATATTTTATTTCAGAATGACATTTTATCTTTAAATTTATTTTCAGAAGTCATCACAATTTTTCAGACACTTTGGTTGAAACTTTTTTTTCCTGTTGAGCTAGCAAACAGGTTTTTGCTGGCCTCAGAAGCATGAACAAAAACCAATATGGAAAACTTTGCCACAATAAGACCTTTGAAGCACCTTGAACTTTCAGAAAGTACTGAGTAGTTTCATTGTCTACACCTGTGTTCTGTGTTCCTCAAGCTTCTCTCAGTGGATGAAGAGCTGCAGTTCCTTCAAAAAGCAGGTCTTCAAAGTCTCACTGAAATTAACTGTTTTGTCTAAAATAATTACCTTTGCCCTTCTTTTATTTCAGCAGGAACTCAGGGAATGAGCTGCAAGTGTATTATGCCTCTCCAAGGAGCTATCAAGACTTCTTTGAAGCAATTCACCGAAGGGAAGATACGTTCTATGTGGTGTCATTCCGCAGAGTAAGTGCAGCAGGGGCTGATACTGGCCTTTTACACGGGTGCCTAAGACTGTTTCTAGCACAGATACCAAAGATGATTTAGTCAAGATTGAAGGTAAATTTGTTTCTTCTGAAATTATGCTTCTCTGTGTCCTTTACAAGTAACATGGCCAGGTCATGGTCTTTGCAAAACATGCCCATCACATTGGGAATGGAAAGAACGTTGCAGGAAACATTGTAGTGCCAGGGCAAGACAGCCCAAAATTGCATGAACATGTGGTTAAACACACATTAGAGCTACTTAATAAGGGTACAAACCTTCTGTGCTTCTGGGTATAGGAACAAATATATCCTCTGCTTAAATTATTATTGTTAGCACAGTACAGTTTCTATCTTCCCCTATAACTCTTGCATTTGCAGTTTTATGTGTCACATATTGCAGCTGTACAGGACTGTGCAGGGCAACAATTTTTCTGCTGTTTTGTGACTTCCAAATTGACACAGATGAGCAGGTCTGCTATCTGTGCTGAGATACAGCAGAGGCTTGTGCTGCAGCTTTGTCAGGCACAGCCTCACATCTGCAGCACAGTTGGTGATGGTAAAAGCTGTCATAAAATGGAATTTCAGGTGTCTAAAGGCACTTTCTGCACTGCAAACCTGACTGGTGTTGAAGCCAAGACAGCTGCAGCAGTGAGAAGCTGGTTGGGATCTGGTGATGGAAATGATCAAAGCAGACAGTGGTTGAAACACCAGCCTGGAGTTGGAGCAATTTCTTCCCTCTCTTTTGCAGAGGTCTTGATAAGTCATTAGATATGTCTGTAATGCACGTTTCACTGACCCTGGGCCTTGCTGAGTCTCCTGCCCTGCTGTTTTGCAGTTGAGGTATTAGATGAGAATTGTTCTGTGCATCTTCACACCCAGCTGCGATCCTCCCAGGACCCTGCAAAGCTCCGTTTGTTTCCTAGGAGCATCCCTAGAGGGGTCCCAAGGTAGTGGGGCACCAGTAGTGGCCACGACAGCAGCTCACCCAGCTAAAACCAGCTCTGTTTAAGAGCACACAGATCAGTACAGCTAGTTTCAGCAGTTCCTATGTTGTCATAGCTACCAATCTATAGATGCCATAGGTACATAGGTAATACAGCCCTATTTCACCAGGTGCACAGAAAATTTCTTAATTTGTGAAGATGCACGTCTGTAGAAAAGGGTCAGGCAAAATAAAAATAGCAGTGCTCTTCTTAGTATTAATGTTTTATGCTGAGTAGAAATATGAGGTTAGCTTCCAGTCTTGGGATTACTGGGTTGTGTCACAAGGCTGGAATTTTGTTATTAAATACTTGGCATGTTCTGCTGTTCTTTCAGCTAGCAACACAAATACAGCCAGGACCAGACTCCACATTATCCTGAGAATGAGGAGAAGGGAGCAGAGGATAAAAGTTTTCCTGGAAACTCTGAACACAAAGCTGGGTAGTGTTTGTAGAGTTCTGCACTTGGGGCCATTGCTCCAGCCCACCTGAATGCATGTATGTGTCCATAGGTCCTGTTTACACTGTTGGGTTAATGACCTGGAAGTTGTCAGCTCTCATTTCAAGTCGCAGAGCTGTCCTTGGAAACAGTGTGCCTTGTGCCACAGAATCCCTACAGCTTGCTCTGCTCTCTTTCAGGGAGAGGTGCAGGGGCCTTTTAAACTCATCTGTGAAGTTTATTTGGTTGCAAAACTTTTGGTATTTCTGTTTTATGAATGAAGTGTCCTCAAATAGAAGGCAGTTTCATGCATTACCTCATTTATTGTTTTAACAGGGCAAACCTGATCTAGCAGCCAGCTCTGCCCTGAGGCACTTTTCAATGACTTGCTTAGATTCTTTTGTGAGTGCAGAAGAAAGGACTCCTGCACAGCCAGAGGGGTGCCATCAGCAGGGCCCCAGCCTAGGAAGTGCCCTTTCACCTCCTCCTGGGGATTACTGACTTCATTTTCTCTGGACCACAGCTCCCTTTTCCCTACTGATTAGGAGCTGTGAGGGGACTGATTCCTCCCCAGTCCTATCCCACACTTCACTTGTGTTGCGTGCGCTTGTCCAAGTGAGGAGCCAAGGCCTAGAGATGAAATGTTTTGTTCTCCTCTCTCACTGTTTGCCATGCAGACACTCCCACATACTTAATAAGCTGTTACAGCCCTGTAACATAAAAAACAGAACAAGAATCATGTACTTAAAAAGTTGCAGGAAGTGGGTAGTTCTGGTTGTAGTGCTCCAAGTGGAAAGTAGGACTGTGGATCTCAGGAGCTCCCTTCCACCTGATGTCCCTGGATGCTCTGTCCCCATTTCCTGCTCTGTAGCCTCACAAACCCCAGCATTTCTCCTGGATGCACGTGATAAAATGGAACATTTTTTGTGTGTTCTCACTTGCACTGCAGGAGTTGTGCTCCGAGTTCCTTGGATTTTCTAGAGAATGGGATTTGCTAGGGCTACCCCTACATGGTAGGACTCAGCGAAGACTTCTGGAAGTGCAGAGTTGGGAAGCAAAGCTCTTGCACACTGCATGTTCTTCTGGTGATGCTTGCTACCTGTAGGACTGAGATTCCCATGATCTAATCAATTTTATTTTCTCTCCTTGTCTTGGAATGCTTGCAGGTCCGCATATTTACAGTTGAAGTTTACATGTTTTTTTGGTTTTTTTTTCCTTTTTAAGGAGGAGAGAGGAAAATAAAGTAGCATTTGGATCAGCTGAGTCCATAGAAGAAGCCGGGCTTTTGCTCTGGGTCTAAAGAAATTAATTTATTGCTATTATCAGGGGAATCTGTAATGTCATTTTAAACAAGAAGAGTCTGCTGCTCTGCCCACCCCCTTGATTTCTGCTCTGTAATGTCTGTGATACAGGTCTGCTTGATGTGTCCTAAAAGCCCAGTGGAGTGTGGGTACAAAGCCCCTGCTGGTGGATCTGAGGTGCTTTGTCAGCAGTGAAGAGACACCTGGCTGCCTCTGTGTGAGCCTGGCACCCACACAGCTCTCTATCAGAGCTCACATCTGGTTTGCCACAGAGTACTCAGGCCTTGCAATTGTTTCTAGAATTACCTGAATAGCTAGCTTAATTTGAAAAGTAATTAAGTAAATCATTGGAGAAAACAAATCCCATCCAATTTACTTTGGCCTATAAATACTTCTTCGGATCATTCCACTCTTGTGTGGTTAGGATCAGAGTCCTCACAACTTGGAGTGATTATCAGTAAATTTCTCCATCCTGGAAGGTTCACTCAGTGATGGCATCTCTGCGGGCTTATTTAAGGACAGTGACATTTTTTAGGGTAAGAATGTAATTACTGTTCTTAAGGAAAACACAGTTTAAAGTTTAATTCACTTGGGAAATTCAGAGGACTTCTGGCATTTCCTCTCACTACTTTCTCTATTTCAAAGCCGAAATGTCTCCTAATATCAAAGTTTGCCACTTGCATTTATTGCAGTGCATATAGACTATCTTACAGTAGAATGCAGTAAAAAGTAGATATTAAATGGTTTCTGTTTCTTAGAGCAAGAGTGATGCTGGCCCTATGGGAATCAATGGCAAAGCCTTTACCAGCTTCTGTAAGAGCAGGAATTTGCTTTATAAATTTCTGCTTTGTTGGCATAAGCCATAGAGCTTCAGGGAAACCTCTTATTATGAAAGTAAATTTCTGGTCCTATAAGCAAACATCTGCAGTAAGCAGTTAACAGCTTTTCAAGTTCTGCAAACAAATTTTTGCTGAAATGATTAAGCCAAATTTCAATCAGAAATTTTTTTCTTTCTTTGCTTGCTAGGAATAAAAATGTCTAGGTTGTGATGTGCTTCTGTTGGTAATAAGCCTGTGCTGTGCTAATTGTATTTGAGATTATATAATTGTATTTGGGATAATCTGTCACTTTCAGAAAGCAAAATATTATAAAGCCTGGCTTTGACATGCTTGTGCAGCAGCAGTTTGCTGTTCTGCACACACTGCTGGCAACAATAATTTGAATGTATCGGAGAGCATGAGGCAGGTTCCAATTCACTGTACTCCTGATGCCATTGACATCCTGCAGGGAAAACTGCTTTAGAAGTTGTTGGCTTCAGATGATGTTTCACAGCCAGAAATTCAGTCCTAGCATATATTTTCCTCCTACTTTGTTGCACTTGACCATGGGTGGTTTTTACGGAGCATGGAGTTTTCTGCTGTTGACTTTTTTTGCTGATTTCTGCAGACTGGGATGTGTAATTTGGTGTTTCATTCAGATGAATTGGTTAGACCCACATAGTCCTGCTGCCCCTAAAGACAGAGCAGCCATTCTGTATGTTTGAGTTCTGTGGATTTGCAACTGCTGTCAGTTAACATGCAGATTTTTGAAAGATTTTACAAACTGCTCTTTTTCCTGTGGAGCCTTAGTAGCTGTTCAGAGGAAAAAGGTTACTTTATCCCAGAACTGAAGGATTTTTAGATCTTGTCCTATATTTTATAAATATGCTGAGAATAATATATGGTAAAAAAACTGAGGCTTAGGGCATAGTATCCATGATAAAATTGTCTGTTCTTTTCAAAGCAGAGGTCACACTTTAGCCTGTCTTCTCTGTGAAGCTGATTCTTGCCTCTCTGGGAGAATTTGAGGAAGCAAACAGTATGTGTGATTGTGCTTCAGTACGCCCTGAAATTCAGTGAGTCAGCCTCTGTCAAACTACAGCTGTATTTGACTTTCAGATTTGAAAATCCATTATGAAAACCTCCTGTTTCCATCTAAGTGTCGATAGTGAAAATTAAGTCTAGCCCTGTTGTATTCTTTGTTACAAATTCCATCTTTTCTGGCCAGACTTAGGATTCTTTCTGTGTCAGGGAATTTTCTCCTTCCAAATCCCTGGTGTCCATATGAAAACAATGAAGCAAGCTTTCTTTCTGGTGTTTCTTGAACTGTCTTCCTTTCTGATACAGAATATTTCAGGTAGGTGGGGAGGAGGTAGAGGCGACTTTCAAAGGGATGGAGAGGTGGTGGGGAGAAGGTTTCTCTGTGCTCTTTCTGTTATTCA